GTGTAATATAACGATGATCAAATTCATTTTTCTCTTTCTTTGATACCCACCAAAAATTATAATTCTAAATTAAATGTGTTATTGTAAATTTTTAACGGTTTGAAAAATATTTATATTATTTATTTAACCCAGTAATATACTATACAATAAATACATTTAAAACTTTAGAGAGGTAACTACAATTTTAAAACAAAAGTCATAAAATATTATTTTCTAATAACTTTAACAATTTAATCCTACAATTTAATAGCTAAGTTTAATGTATGTTTTATCCAAAAATTAAAGTGTAACATAAAGGTGACCAATTTCAATTTTTTTATTTCTTTGATATCCACCAAAAATTACAATTCTAAATTAAATGTGTTATTGTAAATTTTTAATGGTTTGAAAAATATACATTTATTTATTAAACCCAGTAATATACTATACAATAAATACATTTAAAACTTTAAATAGGTAACTACTATTTTAAAACAAAAAGTCACAAAAATAAATTCACGAAAAGCTTTAATAAAAAGAATCGTAACATTAACAAAAAAAAATGGTATGAGAAAATTAATTAGTGATTTTAAGAATTTTAAGGTTGTTAGAATGCTAAAGTTGTCAATCATTTCCTAACCAATACTCTCGAAAGAAAACTTTACTCCTCCACAAATTTTGAATCTAGAAAAACATAATAATTCATAAATGAATCGATGTGAATGATTAAAATCGCAGAAAAACGATAAAACGAGTGACAAAACAAAATCAAAACATACTACAACTTTCTCGATATAGTTTAAGGTTCTAACGAAATAAAACACAAAGATGCATTCCAACATCTCTGTTGAGATAATGCAGATTTCTCGATATAAGCAAAACATACTACAACTTGTCTGATCAATAAATTTTTTATTACAAACGTATTTGATGCAAAATAAAAGACGACCAATCATGTAATAATTTTTTATTACCAACGTATTTGATGCAAAAGAATGCGAGTTTGGTTAGTATTTAATTAGTCATATATATATGATTGTCATTAATTAGAAACTAAAATAAATTCACGGTACACTAAATAATTTAATTCGAAAATGTATTCGTCTAATCGGTAAATAAAGTGTGATCGTGATCAGTAAAAAAAATTGCATAGACAAACAGAAAAAATAAAATAAATTTGAAAAGAACGTACACAAACAAATAAGTGATCAATAAAATATAGCCTCTTTTGCCTTTATGTTTGATATTTTATGGTATGATATTGAATGGCCATGAATGCAAAACTAAAACTATAAAATTACGAAGTGTACAATATACATCAATATTAATAGAATAAAATAATTACTAAAATTTTTTTTTGCTAAAATATTTTAAAATAAACTCCACGCGCTATCACAAACTCAATTACAAAAATCTCACTTTTTATGTGCATATTTGCAAGAATGCCACTTAGGGGTGCCCATTTGCAAAAATACCACT